TGCCGCCTGGCCCGCCCCGGCTGCGGGCAGCCCGGGCGCCGGCCCCCGCGTCGGGCCGGGGCCGCCGCGATGGACCCTCCCGCGGGCATCGCCTGCCTCCTGCTCTGCTGCGCGCTCGCCCTGCCCGCCGGTGCCCTGCGGCGCCCCGGGGACAGAGGTAGGTCTCCGCCGGGACGCCTTCGGGGCTGCTCGCCCTGCCCCGCCGCCGCCGGCCGGTGCCCGCAGCCCGCCCGTCCCAAGTAGCGGCTCTCCGCCCCGCGGCTTTCGGCTCCCCTTGAACTTCTTCTGCGGCTACTTTTGCCGGGTTTCCAGTTGTTTCCTGCAAGAGGCAGGCGGGGACGGGGACCGGGCAGCCGCGCCGCTGGCGGGGAAGGGAGCCGGGAGCGCCCGGCAGTGACAGCGCTGCCCGCAGCCCCGCGCCGCCCGCTGCCTGCCCCGCGGAGCGGGCGAGCCCCGGCGGGCAGGGAGCGGTGCCTGGGGCTCCCCGTGCGGGCTGAAACACATGGCAGCTCGTCTGCCTCCTCCTCCTCTTGCCCGGGCCATCGCCTCTGTCCGAAACTCCCGGGCTCCCACTGAGACCGCTCCCGATCGCTGCCCGCGGCGTCCCCATCACCGCTCGACTCAAACCCGCCGCACCGGGGGTAGTTTGAGGGACGTGCCTTTGCCTTGCAGGCTTACCACCTGCAAACCCAGCCCCTACCCCTGCCCCTATGAGCAGTCCCGAACTGAATCAACACCCTGTCTTCAGCGCTGGCGACCCGGGAAACCCCCAAAGTCCCCCAGGCGACCCGGTCACTGGCTGGGTGTGCAGGGGTGCGGGGGCCGGGCTGGGTGGGCAAAGGGGAGCGGGACCTCTCTGCAGGGGCTGGTGTGCGGGGTCCTGGCAGGGTGGGGAGGCTCACTCTGCCGTCTGGTATTTTGGGGGGGAAAAGGCAAGTTTGAGTGAACTCTGCACACACTTCATGCAGGTGAACCAAGTGCCTGCAAAGAGTGCAGTGTCCATCTGCCTTATGTAAGTGTCTGCTGTGCTAATGAATAATGGAATAAAAATCCCGCGGCATCAGGATATGTTTAGTTCTAGTATCTCTGTTCTCTCTTGCTTTCTCCCTGTAAAGATTCAATCCTGAGGAATATAGAGGAGTACAGCCTTGTCATCCCCACAAGCACCGATTCAGAGGGCAGGTTTCTATCCCACTTGGTGTCTGGACCACCAAAAGCACGCTTCAGGAGAGCTGTGGAGGACTTGCAACATGAAGCAGCAAATGAGCAGATATTTTACAATGTCACTGTTTTTGGAAGAGAGTTTCACTTCAGGCTGCGGCCAAACTCCAGGCTCGTGGCCCCTGGAGCAACAGTTGAGTGGCAGGAGGACTCTGAGGAGACTCATATTGAACCTCTCTATGGGAATTGCCTCTATGTTGGGGATATCACTGATATGCCAAATGCTTCTGTTGCTATCAGCAATTGTGATGGATTGGTAAGTTACTTTTGTTATTATATCAAAGATAATTATATTAATTTCCTACAGTCTTTAAATATAAAATGTGTGGACTGTCAGAAACTCACACCTCATATGGTAACTGTGAATGCAAATTAACTAATGTTCCCTTGTGTGGGAATAGCTGTGCTGCACCAAGCGCTGCTTTACAGACAGTGGCACTAGAAGTTTGAGCACATGCTGTGAGGTAGCTACTCTGGAGCAGAGCAGCTGCAAACAGCATCTATGTTGATTTGTGATAAAGTTACTTGAGGGGTCTGATGCTCTAAACCAGAAGGTTAAGTGGCAAGTTCTCAGCATCTTCTTCCACTTCTCACTTACAGCCTGCAAGGGTAAATGTTATAAAGAGTTAATCCTGAATAATGGGCGGGACTACCCTGGAAACAAATTTGATAGGTAAAATATGGTTTTGTCCTGGAAAATTTAAATTTATTCAGAGTCTGTTTTCTTGGATATTTCACTTGATGAGTTTCATTGCCTAATCAAATGATTGATGAAAAGTTGCAGAAGACTTTGAGTTTTACAAGCAAAACAGCCCCCTGTGATACATTTGTCAAAGCTGCGTGCTTTAAAACTGGCTGCAGCTTTCTGTTCTGGAGTGCATGTTCAGCACTCAGTTTATCACTGTTTGTCCCTGACATCCTAAACTGTCACACTGTCATTTGAACAGTAATTACTGCACACCAATTTCTTTAGTGAGAAAGGGGCTCTATTTTATTTTATAATGACCAGTTTATCCAGCCTGTATTTCCTTGCTATAGCCTTTAGAGTTTGTAATTTTGAGATTGCTTAATTGTAATACATTCTGCCTCTGCATAATGAGCCAGTAGGAGTCAGTTGTATTTCTATTTATTTAGTCATAGGAAGTTGTTCATTTGCTGTGCCAAGAAGATGACATGTATGGAGATAGTATGTTGGCTATCTGAGAATGGAAGGGAATCAAATACTTTTCCCCTTAGTCTTTCCTTTCCTGTGGTTTCTCCTAGCCATGTGCATTCCTGTTTTGAGAAGCAGGTTTTAATGTTGCAGTTGTTTGATGTGGACAGCTGGCTGAGGGTAAGAGAAGCACCAGGCTGAGCAAGAAGAGCCATTCAGAGAGCAGAGTGTGAGCCTGCAGTTCTGCCTCGGGGGGGAAGCAAAAGTTCTGTGCTCTTCCTTGTGTCTAGCACAGATCATTTTGTGTAAGTCAAATTTACTTGCTTAAGATTTACTTGCTCTTTACTTTTAAAACTGGAGCAGATCCAAAGGTCTTCTTCCTTGTTCATCTGTGCTGAAAGGTGGAAGAAGATCCTGTTTGATGGCTACTCCTTGCCTTGTGTTCTTCTCCTCAGCACAGGTGTTTACTGTAAGGGCAGGGGGGAACTTGTTCCTGCTTCCTTCCAGTGTTTGCCTGAATGTGGGCTCCTTATATTTAGACAGAAGAGTAATGATAAAACAGAACAGGAGTAAAAGCCAAACTTTGGATGAGACTCTAAAGGTCCAAGGCCTCATGTTGCATGTAAAAATGAGAAAGAATGAGAATGGTTTATAAAATGAAGTGAAAATATAAATGAAAAGGCTTTGTAAATTACTGCTCTTTTCACATTTGTAACATCTCAAATGCCAAGGTGTGAAGCCAGGCCTCAATGCAATAATAAATGCACTTATAAAAGACTGGAATCCAGAAAGCTACCAAAGGAATTGTAGTTTTCTACCTGTATGCCCAACCCATGAGCCTGCCTTTTGCAGTGTTCTTGTTTCCATTAGAAGAAGCTGGAGAGTTGGTCTGGGCTGGGAGGTGCCACCTTCTAATGTGAATGATGGAATTACAACTTCTGTGGTTATGCTAATACATTTGGAAATGGAATGCTGCTTCCTACTGGGTGTATCTACATGGTAGATGTTGCAGTGCAGAGATGTATTTTTTTTTGCCCAGGTCACTGAAGCCTTCCTGCAGGAAGCATTGCCTCAATACCTTTAGGCTGTAAAGATTTCCCTGAGATTGTGCAGTAAATCTGTTTTGGAACAACAAATTGAACTCCAGTCCCTTGGGTACCATGTTCCATCTCTACCCTTTCCCTCCATCTCAGTTTCTTTCTTTCTTGTGGGGTGAGTGTATAAAACAGATTATCAATAGAGTTACACAAACCCAAAGGAATTATACCAATGTTTCTCCAAAAGCCACTGCTCTGTGGACAGAAATAATAAGCAAGTAACCACAGAAGTTAATACTGCTTGTAATTGTCTCTCCCTTTACTTCTTGTTTTTTGCAAGGAGTATTGAAGAGTCCTTGGAGCAATGTGTTGTCAGCAAGACATACTTAGAGACCACTGGGCTATATGCTTTTCTTGGGTTTATTGACATTTGGATGTGAATAAAGACATGGACAAGGCTATTCTCAACCGTTTTTCTATGTTTGTTTTTTACTTCACATCTAGTTTTCTTCAATGGGCCCAAGTATTTCCACCACATTTTCTAGATTGAGATAGGGATGGTGGATCTTCTTCTTGAGATAGGAATGGTGGATCTCTCTTACAACTGAGCTGTCAAATGACAAGTATTAGAATTTTACATTATAAGCTTGATTATTTTAATTCCTAGTGTTTATTTTTGAAGTGTTTGCTTTTGAAGGTGGTTTGACATCTGTCTATGGTTCTCGTGGTCCCCTGTCTTTTGCATCATTCATCAGGGCTGAAACAATACTGGACTTGAAGTGTCCTGCTTTGATTTTTTCACTGCAAACTTTTGTTGACTGAAACTGGTTTAAGTCAGGAAACGCATCTGCCACCTTGACAACTTATGATGTTATTTCCTTTGAACAGCCCTTTTGGCTTGCACTGCACTACCAACAATGTCTTATTTTCCAGTTATTGTCCTAGAAGGATCTGGCTGGTAGAATTGGTATTGCCAAATGAGAAGTTGTTGGAAGGAATTCACATGAAAATAGTAGATCTGTGAAGGGACTTTTGAACTGTACTATAAATGATGAAGATCTGCTGCCCTGACTGAAGAGATACTCATTAGTTTGGGTACTCACGGCTTTCTGAATCAGAAGTCAACAGAAAATTTATTGACCTAGAAATCAAATCTGAGGCACATGAAGAGAACTTCTGAAGTATGTAATCTAGGTGTGTTGTCAGAGCTGGAGCAGGTCATTAAAAATTGTGGATGAAGAATCAAAGTTAAAGCTAATCAATAGATTCTTAACAGCTTTATGAATTATGAATGTGATTTTTACCATATTAAAAAAATACTGTGAAAGCTTTCCCACTTAAGATAAAACAGTCAGGACAACTTGTTATCATCTTGGTTGGCCTGATAGCATTCATACAAATTCTCCACTGAGTGGGCAGAGCAAGCATGGTCAGCTCTCCATGTCCTGCAGGCTGTGGTGGAAGGTGTTGTGCTTTGAGTATGTTCTTGGTCCTTGGCCAGATTCTTACTTGTGGATGCACTTGGAAGATGAGGGAGCTGGCTGTCCTCTCCAAAGGTTGTGAAGGAGAGTGGTTGGAGGTTGTAAAAAATGCTATAAACCAACAAAAATTTAGGATTGTGTTAATCCTTCCAGATTATTGCATGAGGATGGGAACTGTCTTTCTTCACCTCAGCAGATGATCCTGCCATTGTAGAAGAACTCTTTACACATCTAGATTTTTGATAAATCTAGATTTTTTATAAATACTTCTGCAGTGCTCAAGGCAGATGTGCCAAAAATGTCTTCTTCAGGTTGGCAGGATGGCACTATTTGGTTGTGGAAATTCAGAGACATAAACTCCCTCCCAATCTCCTCACAACATTTGTAGTTTGTGAGCTAGAATGTGTACTTAGACAGGAAAAACAGTATCAACAGCACATCTGAAGTGGATAATGAACACATGATTAACTTAGGCTGGAGTGCACAGTCAGATGTACTGACAGGACTGAGAAGACTGAGGATCACTACTCCATGATGAACAATCAATGCGATCTGATTGCACCCATGGAAGCAAAGGAAGAACATCAGTTTCAGTAACACATCATGGTGTCCTAGTTTGGCTCCATTAGTATAATCCTCTTCCTTTTTTAAAGCTAAAAGATCAGCTGTCCAAAAATTTCACAGTGCTGTCACTAAAATGGAAAGTTATTAGAAGAAGATATACAGAAAGTGAGCTTTTCAAGCCAACTCTGGTTGTTTGTTTTCTAAATGAGCTGTGAGCATGACATGGCTGGGGGTACCAGGAGTGACACCTTACAAGTGCAGTGGACTTGTTTCTTCTTGTGATGAGCCAGGCAGGGTTTTCTCTACAACACTTCAGTCTTTCCTGTGCTCTTGCTAACCCTCCCAAACTGTTTTTGAGCAGCCTGCTGGCTGGCTGGCTGCTTGCCCAGGCTCTGTTTCTTCTAGAAATGCTTGGGACACCAGCAGTGCTTCTTCAGCTCATGCCCAATGCTGCAGTATCTGTAGCCCCGGGCTCACCTGGGTGGGTTTGGGGGGATACATTTCCCTTTCCTAACAGGATCCTCAGCTGGCTGGTGCTTTGGCTGCTGTCAATGCAAGTGCACATCTGCCAGTTATCCCAAAATGTAGTTAGGTATTTTTTCTATTATGACTATTTTCTTTCCTGTTTTAAATCAGAGAACTAAACTTTTCCCCCCAGTTTTTATTTTACAGGGTTGTGTTCATATAATCTAATTTCTGAAGTGGAAATGTAGAATCTCATGTTCAGATCCAGTCAATGGTGTTTCCTGAGAGCAATTCCAGCTGCCCATGTGAAATGCCCACCTTTCTCCCCTTCTTCCTGCCACTTTCCCTGCATTCCTAAAGGCATTTAGACACTTTGTGAAGTCTAGCCTTGTGTAGTATAGTTCTTCTTCACTTTGAGCATGAGTTCGATCTCTTTGAAGTAAGTGAATTTTAAGGTTGTATTGTTATGTGCTGTCCTGACAGAAGTGTTTTCTTGGAACTGCCCACAGAGTTGAAGGTGAATCTAACTCACTTTAGGTGGAACGTGTAATTTACC